TTGTTTTCTCTGTGATTTTGTCATGCTGATGAAGATTTAATAATCGAAACGCGTCCATGCACTATTTGTTCCGTGTTTTTCTACCCCCTGTAATGTTCAAATGGTTGCTAAATTCGAAATCAGCTCCAAAAACTAGCCTAGAAACATGTAAAACTCGAAAAAGTGAGCCGAGGTCATCAAAGGTCACTGAGCTGACCTGACCTTCAGGTGACCTTGACACCCACTCTAATGCATAGGACCAGCATCATATCACATGTTTCAACGCTTGAAACCACGTAAAGACTGCAAACGCGCGGCTAATGCGAGCCGACATACGCCGAATCGCGATTCGGGCCAAACATGGTCTCGAGAAATAGGTCACAGTTCAAAGGTCATTTGGGTCAGGGTCATGAAATTTTCACGGTAGGTAGGTGTAAAATTGATAAAATCGGGAGTATTGAAAGTTTCGTCGCGATCGGACGGTTTTTACGCGAGTTACTCACGAAAAACCGATGGGGTCCGTTCAACGCCTCCCCCTATACGGGCGAGGGAAAAGCGCAACCAAAAAGGCAAAAATATGCACATGCGATAACCTATACTGCGAAAAAAGGTGCATCATTTTTTAACGTCGCCGACAAATTGTAATTACCCCAAGCTCAGGCAGATGTATGGTAGAAAATACCCCAAGTGAAATACACTACGGCGGAAATAAAATACCCTACGGCGGAGCTCGGTTGCAATTTGTAAATACGCCAGCCCCTTCTCAACAGAAAGGCTATGTTTATGTGGCGGCATCTATAGGTGGTAGTATACACCAAGATTACTTTACTACTCGTATACACAACAGTATATCAAATAAATACATGGGCGTAGGAACCTCACGAAAAGTGGGGGGGCCAGCGAAACTTCAATGTCACTTTGTGGGAGCCCCAATACCCCTATGAAGAAATTCTTTGCAGTTTTGTGCTCATCTCACCTTGCTGAATCATTTCCTGCTCTTAGTTTTGTATTTAAATAAAAAATAAAGATTTTACTTTAAAAAATGGCTAAAAAGTGGGGGGGGCCATGGCCCCCCCGGCCCCCCCTGTTCCTACGCCTATGAATAAATACGTTTTCTAAGTAAGTATCAAGCTGAAAAACAAAATGAAACAAAAAGAAAATAAAACCTAGATCACGAAGTCTGAAAACTCGAACGAAAAACAAAATAAGAACTTGATTATATATGTTTTATTATACAATTGGTCAGAATCGCTACCTGCCGCAGCTGCGACAATCAAGAAGTGTTCGCCTATTTTCAATTGATGATGATGATGCGTAAAAGTCGCAAAAATACCCAATGACATTTCAAACTTTCCATGTTTTCTGCTTACGCTGCTAGCGATATCCATATCTTGAAAAGACTCTAACATAAAATAGCAAGGAAAGCAGCAGATAGTTGTCCACAGAGATTCGGTTGACACGTGGGCATGAATTGAAAATAGATTAAATCAGTTTTGCTGATAAATGGATGGATTTTCTCTTTTTTGGAAGACAGTGCTAAAGCTAGTGTCACCTATTCTGTATGCTTTCTCAGGCTTTTGATATTGCAGCATCAATGGAGTGAATTTAACAGCAAGGTCAATCCCAGACATGAGACAGATTCATCAATTCCCATAAGTCAAGCTTTTTTTCTGCTGGTAAGTGCTGGGAAGTATAGAGTAAGTTGCAAATACTTCCTTCAAGTATGCATTAGAGTCACCAATTATGCATGATAATGTTCACACACATCAGCTTGCAAGATAACTTTACTCATAGAATGTGGTTAATATAATCATGTTAACTTTTTATAGGTGTGTAATCATGACCTAATTGACTGAGGTGTTTGCTGTTACTGTTAAAATTTGTGCCATAGGTACTTGAAATGATTATATTCATTGAAAAGAAGGGAGTCATGATGGTCATGTTAATATTCATGCAATTTGAATTGTTCTCAAAATAGTGTAATCAATCATGCTTATTATAGCAATAGACTAAGACAATAACTAGATTGCTATTTTTGACGGGCCGGGCCGGGCTGGGCTTGGACATTTTGCCAAGAGCGGGCTACGGGCTGGGCCGGGCTCTGAACCCATGGGCCCGGGCCGGGCTGGGCTGGGGATTTTGGGGCCCGTGGCGAACACTGAGTCAAGAAGCCAAAGGAAAATATCAATCAGGTACAAGTGAAAAGAAACGGGCAAACCGGTCCGGGTCATGTGTATAAAAAAAGATGGACAACCGACTTTTATCCTAGGAAACCTAGGAGTCTAGGACACCCCCACCTGCAGGTGACACGCTGGGACCACTGGTCCATTGGTCCGGACCAGGCGACACCCTGGGACCACTGACCGGTCCGAGCTGGGGTACGGTCCGCCGCGGTCCGGAAATACCGGACGGACCGCGTTCCGCGGCGGCGGCATGCGGACGGCGCTCTGCACACCGGTCGGGCCAGTAGTGACCTGCGTGCACAACACCTGTGCACCGTGCACCGCTCCCGGCCGACGTACGCGGAAATCGTGACCGGTCATTGTGTTATGCGGGCGCGGGGAGACCTGTTTCTGGGAATGAGCCGGGTCAGCCGCTCCTGACTCTTGGCAATAGATATACGGGGTTCAACATAAGTTCTGATGTATTTTATTCACAATCTCATGCCATCGTTAATGACAATTGTATGGCTCTGAATGTATTTGTAAACAAGCAAGTGAATAGGTAGGTACTTGTGGTCGCAATGAGGCATCCTGACAATGACCTCGGAGAGCACAGACGGCTGGAATGATGGCTGCAAGTATTGAATTCCTTCTTTTAAAAAGGAAACGCATGTGCCATCCTTGTCCCGGAATGATTTCCATGTCCATGTGTGAGAGAACACGCTCTAAACAATATAGAGCCAGCGACTGTCGGAAATAAGTTTACGTAAGAATTGTATTGGGCGTTTCCAAAATAGGTGACCTTACCCTTTACCAATAAATAGGGCGTGACTCGTGACCCTCCGAGCCATAGATGAGCGCCGAGCAGAGCTGCTGCCGCCAGTGCGGCCAGTTTTTGTCGCTGTTCCAGCGCTGACCGGCCGGCGATCAGTGGCCCGTCATCACCGCCATCTCTGCTGTCAGCGGTCCCCGGCCACGGCTGGCCATTAGTTTATCATTAGTCAACCACCTGGCGTATTATCAGAGACCATCAGAGCAGCTGACCGTCCGGCCGGACCCTGGCCTCGCGCGGTGGGAGAGACGGCACCTTGACCCTGACCGGCCGCACGCAGAAACCTCTGTCCAAAATAAACACCTGGGATAATGCATGGGTTGTGTTGTACTATGCAAACATTTTGAACTCTGCCAGTTATCCGGAATTTTTCGGTATGGATGGTGAGCGTCAGGGCCGCGCAACAATCACGCTAAGGTTTTGGTATCGTCAACCAATCCATTCAAAGCACAAGCACTCGAAATAAGTTTCTAGAAAGCGTCTCATTTCATTGTTTTGAACTAGCCATAAGACTACCGCTACTCCTTGTAATTGCCAATTGGTCACTTTAACAATTGAGTACCTGATGTTTACCTTTTTCGACTCAATCGAGCCCAGTTCCATGCCACCAGCCGCTATATGCCTCATTGCTGACTTTAGTTATTGCCAACCAACGATAGCCGCAGATCAATACCTTAGCCTAAATCCATCCGAAGTTCTAGGCACCGTCTGCAGTGAATCTGGCTGCCCCTCTCACCTCTCGAGTCACCCAGCCCTGACCTCCCGGTGTAGATTCTCGGACGGTGACGTGGCGCAGCTCGGCCCGTCGGCCGGCTATTCAGAGTCGAACGAGCAGCTCCGACCGGCTCCCCTCAGTGGCTCAGAGCGGCTCTGCCCAACGGCGCGCCACTCTGCTCTGAGTGGAGTGGCGGAGGCGGCCAAGTAACTAGAAATGCAACTTTGCACAGCTCGTGGCAGCAATGGCTAAAAGGTACCACTGGCACTGTGGTCACGGAACAAAGAGGAGGGTGTCTGCCTGTACCTGCCTCCCGCCTATTTAGCACCTAAGCTGTGTATTGTGCAAGTGATTTATCATGCAACCTCGCTGAACTAGTCCAGCCTCAACATAAGTATTACCCGATAATTTGTCGAAACGTACCACTTTGTCGCTTACACTGCCTCCCGCTGTGTTGTTTCAGCCGGACGACTGGGACTCCCGGAAGATCAACACGTTCTCGACGTTCCACGGCAGCTCCAACTCGCACCTGGCCGGCCTGGCGGTGGGACGCGGGCGGCACGCCCACTCCCGCTCGCTGGTGCTCGACACGCCGCTGCCGGCGCCGGTGCGGCCCAGTCACGGCCACTCCAGGTCCCTGGTCGTCGACATGCCCGTGCGCATCATCCACGGCCACTCCCGCTCACTGGTGGAGATTTGCCCGGACACACCGATCAGCAGCGGCTCCGGCGGCTCCGGGGACTCCGGCGGTGGCTCCGGCGGCGGCTCCACCGAGGGGCGAGCGTCCGAGCGCACACCGCGCCCGCTCTCCCGCTCCTCAGCCCGTCTGAGCGGGAAGGACGCGCCGCTGCGGCCGCTGTCCCGCTCCTCGGGTAGCGGCATCACCATCACTTGTGGCGGCGGTGGCGAGGGCTCCGCGCCGCCGCCGCCGCCCAGGCCTGTGTCCAGCTCGTCCGGGACCCCGCCGACGCCTCCCAGACCTGTGTCCAGTTCGTCTGGGACCCCGCCGCCGCTTCCCAGACCTGTGTCCAGTTCGTCCGGGACCCCGCCGCCGCTTCCCAGGTCGCTGAGCCGCTCCTCGGGAGCGCCGAGTGATGTCACGGACGCAGGGAGTGCTGCGGGAGGTTCGGAGAGTGCCGCGGGAGGACCAGAGAGTGCTGCGGGAGGACCAGAGAGTGCCACAGGAGGTTCAGAGAGTGTCGCAGGAGGACCAGAGAGTGCCGCGGGAGTGTCTGAGAGTGCCAGGGAAGGTTCAGAGAGTGCTGCAGGAGGGTCAAAGAGAGCCGAAGGAGGCTCGGAGAATGTCAGAAGAGTTCCCGGTGCTGGCCTGACCAGTGCGGCTGCTCCGAGGCCCATGTCGCGCACCTCCATCACAATTATCAGCGGCGAGAATTCTGGGACTGTTCACCAGAACTCTGATACTGCTCCTGATGTTGTGAGACAAAGTGCCGCCGGTGACGGTCACGGTGTCAGTGACGCCGGTGTCAGTGCCGCCGGTGTCAGTGACGGTCTTGGTGTCAGTGCCGCCGGTGACGGTCACGGTGTCAGTGACGCCGGTGTCAGTGACGCCGGCCCTGCCAGTGACTGCGGCTCGGCGAGCGATACCGGCCCGGGCAGCGTCAGTGACGGCGGCACGCCCTCGCTGCGCGCCCTCTCCACAGCCTCCAGCGGAGGGTCACCCAGCCCGGCGCCGCTGTCTCCCCCGCGAGACAAGCCCACCCCGGCCTCGCGCACCCTGATGGGGTCCGCGGTGTCACCGGCCACGCCGACTTCTGCTACGAACGGCGGCCGACCGCAGTATGTAAGTACCACGGGATACAACCACTGGCAACGAGCTGCACTCGAGTAGGCACGCCATGCTCGTAAAACTTTGTGGGCTAAGCATGTGAATGTGGAGCATGACTTCAGGTAAGGTCCGGAGTTGGATGGAATGCGTGAGTATAAATTCGGCCAGATCAGGTGGCTGTCGGGGAGATTACGGAAGTAGGGAATTGCCGATAGGTTGTTAAATCTTATCGCAGGTCTGTCACCAAACTGCGAGCTGATAATTTATCTTACTTGTATCCGTCATTTCTCTTTAGCGTGTACCGTCTTTTTCGTCATGATGAATGTTTCAATCGCGCTGCTCCTGCATTGTCCTGTCATGATTCACTTGTCAGAGGCATATGAAAAATGCATTTGCGTCCTGTCAGCCATCAGAGTTTTACTGCAGGCATCTGGCATGTTAAACACTATTTTTTTTAGTGCGTGGGAATGCCTGCAGGAATTCTTCCTGGAAGGCCACTGGCCAGTTCTTGTAGGAGACACCATGACAGTCTTTCCCAAGCATTTAACAACGATAAAATGAGGACTTTGCTCCATAAGAAATCGTTCGGGTCAAAGCTTTCGAATTGTATTTACAAAACCTCGTCAGCTAGTCGTAATCGGGTTCGAGGGGTATCGGTCGCAAAATTGAAGGCCCTCAATTTATAATTTGTATCAATCAATTTGTAATTTGAGGTTTTGTAAATACTATTCAAAAGAGCTCCGACCCGAACGATTTCTTGTGGAGCAAAGTCCTCATTCACTTATTACATCAAACTTCACATCTTGTCCTGAAGAACAGTTAACAACATTTGAACAACAACTCAACATATATTTGTTAGTCGATCAATTACGTCGACAAAAAAGTCCTTGATTCGCTGCTTGTGCGCGGCATGGGCAATTGCATAACCGTACCGTATGTAAACAAAATTAATTGGTGATATGTGTTCTGCTGCTCGTTCGGCCGCCCGCGGCCGTCCGTTCACCGTTGCGCGGGGCTGCCGCCTGCCAAGTGAAAATGGGCCCCTCACTTTCTCACCGTGCCTGGGACTCTTGTCACCCCTGCAGCGGCGCTGACTCCGGCTGACCCCTGACCTCTGACCAGTGACCCCGGCCGCTGACCTCTGACCTCTGACCAGTGACCCCGGCCGCTGGCCTGTGACCGGAAGCAGTGACCCCGGCGGAGCGTGGCGCCCCTCCGCCACCCCGCCAGCGCCCGCCAGGCCCGCCCACTCGATATAAAATGGCCCACCCAGCGGTCAGCACTGTCCCTTCCTGCAGGAACTTTCCCACCCACCTCTGTACATACATGCCCGTCAATATAACCCGTGACTTCCAGCAGGTCTTCAGTGGCTAGTGGCTTTAAGACACTGAACGAGACAGCTTTAACCCTCGCCCATGTAGGGGGGGGGGGGGTTGGTGCAACCCCCCCCCCCCCCCTGAGGTTTTTCTTAGCTACACGCCGAACCGTTTCAGATAGCCTGCTCAAATTTGCAGTACCCTCTGGGGCATCCTTTGCGCAACTTTTGGTATTTTTTGTCAAGGTCATGTCAGGTCACGGAGTTATGACGTCATAAAGGGAACAACCTCCGGCCAGATTTACGCTAAATTGGAGATTGCTTCACATTGGTATAAATGCCGACTGACCTGACACACTGATGGATTGTTTTAGAATCACAACTGGCTGATTTGACATTGGTACAATGTCCGTTGACATTTTGAAGGTTACTTAAGGTCAAGGTAAGGTCAGTGACCTCGGTTGACCTGTAATGACTTCTTGCACTTGTATGCATTTTCGGGGTATTTTGATGCCCTGAATTCGAATTTGCTATCCATTTCAGGCATCTTCGGTTGTTTCTTGTAGTTCATTTTGGGTCAGGGTCAGGTCAGTGACGTCTAGTGATGTCAATTTCAGAAATTTTGGAAACCAATACCAAACCGATACCGACCAAAACCACTGAGAGTATACCAAAACCGAACCGATTTGCAGAAATAGGGTGAAATACCGACCAGGTACCGAATTCAGGGAATCATCAAACATATGCTTCAAACTTTTTCAAAACAAATGATAAGCATAGAAAGGCAATACTTTAAAATAAGGCAACCAAAACAAGTCAGGAAATCTCTAAATTATTTGCACTGCAAAAAAATATAACTGTATTGTGTAACTTTGAACAAATATTCAGGTCAGTAACTTAACCCTCGCGGGCCCGGGGGGGGGGGGCGTTTTTCGCCCCCCCCCCCTGGCGAATATTTGCGATAACTCCAGAACGCTTAGGGATAGGAAGGCGAAACTTTCAGTACCTTTTCTCCCATCAATTTGACATCTTCTGAAGTAAAAAATTTGGACCTAACCCCCTTGATGACGTCACAAGGTCCATTTTTCTAGACACCTGCACGGCAAACTTCGGCGTCACAGACGCAAACTTCAAATAGCTGCTAAAAATAGAGTTTTAGAGATAAAGACAAATTACGAGCACGGCTGTGTAGCGTTTGACCTAGAGAAAAATAGAAAAATAGTTTTGGTGACCTGAGGTCAGAGGTCAGGTCAACGACCCCGAAATGTGGTTTTAGTTTTTCGCAAATAACTTCGACAAAAATGGTCCTAGAGCTACGGCAGTGGTACCATCGCATTCGCCTTGTCAAGCCGCGTCGAATGATATATATTTTGTTCGGAAAAGGTCAAGTTTCATGTTGACCTCATGTGACCTCGAATGACCTCTGGTTGACCTTGACACATTAAAGGTCGTTTATGATGGATTTGTACCCGCTGATCACGAATCTGGCATCTATTTTCCTCTAAGCCTTCATTTAGAGCTTCCGGATGGCAAAATTGTCTTATTTATTATTACTAACTTGAATCAGTGAAATAGCCTCTAGCAGGGATACTCTTCTGTGACCTTGACCTTTGAGCAGCCTTGTATCGTAAGATGAACCACAAATAGGGAACTGATAAGCCTCAAAACATTTCAAAACATCTTGGAAGTTAGCACGCAAGATGTGCGAAAAAGTGCCAAGTTTGATGTCAATTTTGAGCGTGACGTTGACCTTGACCTTTGATTTGGAGCACATTTTCAGAATCCTCAGATTCTCTTCTTTCGTTTGACACCCAATTTTGCCGGTTTGATGCAGCCTGCCGTCCTCTAGAAGGCTTACTTTGAGATCACTACACATGTGCCGGTTTTGGCCTTTGACCTTGACCTCTGACCTTGAAAATTGACCTGAGGTCAAAAATTTTAGGTGCATTAGAATCGTCTCGTAAGGACCTTTCGTTTGGTATCGCTTTTGTTTCCGTAGCTCCCTTATTTACGGAGTTAGACAGGGGGGGCGAAAAACGCCCCCCCCCCGGGCTGCGGTGGTTGGGATTACCCCCCGGGCCCGGCCGGGTTAACTGGGATGTGGATTCAAGTCATCTGCATGAGGTGATATAGGACAAGAACTTGAACCCTGAATCTCATCCATGCCTGAACCATCAAACGTCCTTTCAATTCAAGTCAATCAATTCAAGTCCAGTCAAGACAGGGTTACGTGTGTTATCATGATCCAAAAATGGTAACCAAATGACAATGATGGGCTGGGCTATACCATTAATGTAAACAAAATCCATGATAGCTGGTACAGTTCAACTCAAGTAGCGATGGTGACGATAGTGACGCAGCCAATTTTTCATCATAAGCAAATGTTTAACACAACAAATCTTGATAAATAATTACTTACGAGGCACACTGATAGATAGCAGACACCACTGTAATGATATCGCGATGAAAGCTAAGTAAAATGTCCATAATTTTACGGAATCATTGACAGGTGTCACGTGGCATCTCTTCCACAATGGCAGCCTTGCAGGCGGCGGCCATTTGGCAAGGCGGCACGAAACGCACGGAACTGCATAAAACAATGTCTTTTTCTTTTTTGCTTAAGAACACTTAAGTTATAAATATGATGTTCATATTTTGGCATTTTAAAATTAATTCAAGAAAGATTGTAGGCTATTATTGATAAAAAATGAAGAACCAGAAAAACAAAGTTGCTCAATTATTTTTAATTAGTTCTTGAGTTACATCGGGTTTTGGCGCAGCTCTGACATTAAAAGTTCTTAGTTGTGTTCAGTTTTTGAGGTGCTATTTGCGAAGCAAGCCAAGACCCAATTATATTTTAGGAATGCTTTTGATTACATTGCTAGCGATTTCTATCTGTTGAGGAGAGCAGGAAAGAGAACACTAATTAAAGGGACCCTCCCACCTTCAAAAAAGTTTATGAATTGGCATGAAAGTGATGTCGCTCGGTTCAGAAAGAGCGAAAACGAATATCTACCAAATTTCATCGAAAAATATTCACCGGTTTTCAAGATATTAGACTTTTACTTTTGTTTACTTTTTGGGATCTCCGCTGTTCCTAGCGACTTTATTTAAAAGTGCGGCATTTGTTGCGCGCAACGAAGCATATACCACCGCGTGCTACAAAACGTTTTAGTCAAACATTTACGGACGTTCGAAAGCCTGATGACGTCATCAGATTCCCGTAATGGTTAAGAGATAGGGACCACGCTGGTCCCACCCTGCAAGTAAAGGGAAGAAGTTTCTTGAACACCATAAAGCTGCGGGGGTTGCGACCAGGATAAATGGTGGTTTCTGAGCCTGGCCGCAAACTTGGCTATCTTAACTCAAAACTAATGTTAAGGTGGGAGGGTCCCTTTAAAGAAAATAAATTATCCACAGGATCTCTTTGAAGTTGAGCGAAGTTGAGAATTTGTGGGGTGATGATAAAGTGATAAATGCTGCCTTCAATATTAGATGATAATGGTGAAGCTACTGCTATAAAAAACAGGGTTTTGACTTTTGGATAACAATAATGTAACTGCATTGCAGTGAAATGGAGAGCAAGACAAGGTCAAGATCAATCACAGACTCATCAAAACAGTCAAAGTTGTTACTAATGAATGCTTGGGAAATTTTGAGTAAGGTAGTTAAAGTATGTTTTCCAGTATACAGTGAGTTAAACATTGATACATGTTTATGTCTTGCACATTAGTTTTTGTAAGATAATTATCCTCATGGTATTGGAATTTGCTAGCACTGATAAGTTGCCATTTAACATTGGTAGACTGATGTGTTTGATGTTACAGTTAACGTGTTTGCCCATTTCTTATGACATCATGCATTTGGGAGAAATATGTCATGATTGTCCTTTTTCTTCATCCAATGTCATTTAGCAAATCAAATTTGAGTTCAGAAGGTTTATAAAAAATGTTTTCAAATTTTTTTATGACAGTAGTTGGTTGACTTTCATAATACCGACAAAATACCAAATGCTTTTGGTATGAAATACCGAATACCGAATCGGTATTGGTTCGGTATCGGTATACCGAAATTTTGGTAACCGATTGACACCACTAGTGACGTCACACGCCTGACGTACAAATGACCTTGCAGACTTCCGATGCTCCCAACGCATCATTTTTAGAGTTATGACATCGAAATACACACCAAACGATAAAGAATTGATCAAGGATCACGATAGTGAAGGTTTCAAGTCGATGTCTTTTACCGTTTTGCCGCAATCGGCGCGGAAATCTGAAAAAGTTAGATTTTTTTTCCGAAAATTTGACCTTTGACTGGTCATAAGTAGGTCAAATGTTGACCTAGGACCAAAAAATATACCACCAATCGCGAGATCTCGTTGAGAGCAATCCGTTGGTCTTTTCCGCTAAGCTATACGACGCTCCGTTTTCAAACGCCAGGGGGGGGGGGGTCGCACCAACCCCCCCTGAATGGGCGAAGGTGGCAAAACACCGTTTACGGGCGAGGGTTAATATATTTTATGCCCTTTACAGTATACACTATACAGGCATGCATACTTACTCGTTTACCAATTAAAACGACCTGTGTCGTCTTTGGATAAAGAGTTCCTTCTGGTACCTACTCGTCTGCAGCATTGGAATGATGTATTGGGGGCGTGAAACTTTTTAATTTTTAGCTGTTTGAAAGCCATGCTCATTGCCAATGTTTCCCTTCCCCTGTCCTGCTAGCTGTAGGTACTTGCGTGCCGAGTGTAGGTATTCTGTCGGTATCTGACGTCTGTCTCCGCCGGTTGCAGAAAATCCGCGACGTGCGTCTGACGATGGGCGCCGACTCGCGACGGTTCGGCTTCTCCGTTATCGGCGGCGCCGACGAGGGCATTCGTCCCAAAATCGACGACGTCGCAGAGGGTAAGTGGACGGCACCCCCGACCGGCCGCCGCGTAACGTGACACTCCTCGCCGCCTGACTCGCGTCGGACACAGACCGTATTGCATTTCAGTTACAACAGTGGTTTCAGTTACAACCCCCGTGACGGCGCGTAACATCCAGCACACGTTCGGGGTATCCCCGATCGTAATTCGAAGCGGTCCACGCCTGCGCCTGGGATGTGATATACGACTCCATCTGATGATAATGAGCTGAACAATGAGCTGAAGGCTGTATGTAGATATGACTTACGAGTGTGTACTGGGGGGCGGCGACACGTAGCAACGCTCTGACATCTGCCAGTCGCTCAAAGGTGATAGTAGGTACCTATAGGTGTGTCATATTCTGGGGGATACTTGGCAGCGGTGCCTCCTCTGCTTCGCGAACAAAGATCGCAATCACTTACGAACTCCCCTCACTTACCTACCTATGTGGATAATGGGTCATTGATACGTTTTGTTTGTTTTGTTTGTTTTATTTTATTTATTTATTTATTTATTTATTTATTTATTTATTTATGGGTTGGGTTAGGCGCTTTCGGTCTAACAAGACCATTTCAGAGCCGGAAGGATGATAGGAATCTGGGGAAGCTATTGGTCTGGGCGGACAGTGGCACCCTGGTGACCCGTCGGGGCTGGGAGTGGGCCCGTACAGTGGACACTGGACAGGCCACCCAGCCCCCTGACGGTCACCGCACCCAGCTACGGGCCTGCCTCTGGGGTGGAGCGGCCTAAAGTCGCCCGCCCAGCCCAGAACGAGGGGTTGAGGCGTGGAAGAGAGAAATATTTGACTATCCTAAGTTTGGAAACAACGGAATGGAGCATGGCTGCGGTACTGAGACTTGAGAGGGATTTGTCGGCATCGACGTGCGAGGATTGTACCAAAGGTCCCGTACTTCACCTGCAGGTGGCAGCACTAAGCAGCCCTGCAGCTTGCGGTCCTCGACAGACAGGCCCTCTCATGTTGCGCTTAAAAAACTCAAATTTACGATTTGATGATATACGTATTGGCAGCAAGATGTGCTGTTGTGTGGTTTTACGTATCTGCTGCTCCATGAGCATAGGCGGCGGAACGGGGAGGGCACCGGGGCACCGTGCCCCCTTTTTATTTTGGCTTTTCAACATTAGCCCTATGGGCGTTGAATGGAAAGAATGGTACCAAAAGTCGGCAGTGCCCCCCCCCCCTTTATTGAAGGTGTTCCGCCGCCACTGTCCATGAGGGCAGGGCGTTTACCGTCTAATGCCTTCAATGATCTTACTCGTGGTGCTGGACGAATGGTGAATACACCAGCGCCACCTAGGCGGGGCCGCGACTCACCCGTGTCCTGGCGGTGGTAGTGCGTCGCGCCCGGCAGCCGACAGTCCAGCCGCTCCACTCCTCTCTCTTGCTTTGCACTCAACAACATCGCTCTGCCTATGGTTGATGCTCCTTGTTACTGTCATCACCTCGAGACATCAATCACCATACAGTGGTATGTTCCAGACAGCTCTCACTTCCACACAGCCAGCCGCCGCAGACAGCCGCCGCAGCCAGTCGCTCCAGACATCCGCTGCAGACAGCTCCAGACAGCGGCACACAGACGCAGATTGATGAGGCTATCGATCCGATGGTGGAGCGCTTTTCCTCCGCCTCCCGCAAACAGAGAGCTACCGAAACCAACCGTTTGGCTAGCCGACTGCATATCGACCGACCGACAGAGTGGTTCTCTAACCGACTAGACGACTGACCGGCCAGCTGACCGACCGGCCGACTGACCGGTCAGCTGGCATCTGCCGACTGACCGGCCAGCTGACCGACCGGCCGACTGACCGGTCAGCTGACTGACCGGCCGACTGAACCTATATAACTCACTGGCTAGCTGACCAGCAGTTAACGTAGCGCTCTGAGCTCTGACCGACCAACTGACGAACCGGCCGACCAGCCTTCTGACCTGAACGACTGACCTACCGGCCGACACTTTGACTAGCCGACCTTTAGGGTCCCAATCTACTAACCGTAGGCTTGGCAATCAGATATTGATTAGTGCAATTACTACTAAGTGAATTACTAAGTGTAATGGAATTAGCTAGATGCAGTTTTTATGTGTAGGTACCTAAATGATGACCTTATCAAATGCCCAAATGCTTGTTAGAGACTTAAACGATTTTGATTTCAAGCAAATGTGCTTTCGATATCATCAGATCATGATGACCTATTAGTTATTTACAGATTAGCTCAGCGTGCAAGCTAAAAAAGAACAGCATAAATGTTTTTGAAGCCGCCATATTTTGCGAACTGCCTACCTATCCCTTCTCATGCATCCTTCAAATGAATTAAACGGCAAAGGGCGATCGAGTGGAAGATAATATACGCCGGAATGACATACTAGCAGCTACGGACCATGCCGGAAAATTATGAGTGCATGTACCTTTAGTTTTCCTTCCTGCTTGATTCAACATGATAATTAGCACTATGGGATATCGTAAAGTAGCCATGCAACTTCTAGTCAGCTTGATGCTGAAGTTCAGGAAACGTCTTTGCTGTCGTTCCTTTGATCAGCCTATATGCTCGCATCAAACTGGCTTTCTGCCATTATATACAATAGCTCTCTGACACCGATGTTTATGAAGGAAGCACGGTGTCACTCGGCCCGACTCCATCTAACTGTACTGGTCGGTCTCTGTTGGAACGGGGAAGTTGTCGCCCGCGGTCAGTGTGCGCAAGTTTCCCCGTCGGTCGGCCTGTCACCGGCGCTCGGGTCACCACACTGGCTGTGAGCCGCGTGCCGTTTGTCGCACGCACGGCGCTGACGGCCGCTGTGGCTGCCAGACACGGGACACAGCGGCACGTTGGCCGGACACGGGACATAGCGCACTGTCCGTCTGTCGGACACTGGACACAGCGGCCCGGACACGGGACACAGCGGCCGGACAAGGGACACAGCGGCCCGGACACGGGACACAGCTTCCCGGACACGGGACACAGCGGCGCTGGCCGGACACGGGACACAGCGGCGCGCGGGCCGCCTGCTGACAATGCCCGAGAGAGTCTTTCTCGGCGGCCGGCTCTGAGCGCTCAGCGGTGCACCTGGAAAATCAATAGCGGCACGCCTCACACGGCAGACAGACGCAGTACGGGCCTCTGAATCCGCGTGTCGGACCCGGCCCGACCCAGCCGCGCCGCGCCGCGCCCGTCCACTCTGAGTTCAGCCATGAGACCTATAGCCGTCCGTCGTGAAGGGCAAAAATTCTCCTCAAGCTCACGAATGGTCCCCCGGGAGCACATATAGTAACCTGCAGGTGTAGCGTTAGCCTCTCCGATGTATTGAATTGCCTTATCATTTCATTGATCTGACCGTCACCGAATTTATGAGAAGACCGGCTGAAACGTCGACTGACGTGTGTGCGTGTGGACGTTCATCACTTATGTGGACAAACTGTGTATGTAACTATTTGTGTATTGTGTAGTGTGTTTAAGTGTATTTTTTCATTATCATTTTGCCATCGCATCGCATGCTGTTGTTTTACCCACTTCACCGCCGTCTTTTATTGGCTCAGTAATACCAAGAAAAGTCTGTTAGACTCCGACCATGACTCAAGTAGAAAACACTAAATAGCACCGATAAATCATAAATTGTTTACATACCCGTATGGTCCACCATGCAATAACACACTTAATCCAAAGACGCTCTGGTGGTGAGTGCGTTTGGGGCGGGCACCGGAAGCCTGGAGACATATAGGTCCCTCGATGATCACTGATCGAACCACATCTTAGCTCAATCTTCCATGCGATTGGAACCAATACCAAAAGCCCATCCATCTTGAAGAGGCCATGGTGATGTGTGCCTTGCGACGAGGGCCACGTTGACATTATTCTCGGTCGACACAGGGCGGAGACATGTTATCAGTTCCAAGGGCTCCCGGCGGGCTCAAAGCTGCTGACGCCACTCTGCAGATCCAGGGCGGATCTCATGGTAACGCTGGTGTCGAGCCGGAGCCCAACGGGCAAGAAGTGAGGAGTCTCCCAGACTCAGCCCCCTCAGCGTCTTTATAGACTCACTTCCGTCCCGTTCTATACAGCCAATGGCGGCTGCTGCAGCTACCAGCCGGTCTGCACTCTGTTCGAAACAGCTGCCAGCTCTGTTCGGGGAGGCTGGGAGGGCTGCGGCCGACATTTCAGACGGGAGCTGCAGCCACCGCCGTCCACGGTGGCCATTGGACGGAACGGGGACGCCTCTCTTGATAATTCTGAAAACGTAAACTTGGAAATAATTATACAATATATCAGTATTTCGCGCTTTTAGCGTGTGTTGCCTTTTATTATTATGAATGTGAACATTTCTTATCCCTGAGAAAGGTATGTGTCACTATCAGTGGCGCAGCCAGGGGGGGGTCAGAGGGTCAGCTGACCCACCCGAAACTTCTGTCAGGGGCCCGCTCGAAAGAGAGAGAGAGAGAGGGGAGAGGGGTCCTAACCTAATCTAATCGGACGAGCCCGCTTCGAGAAATGCCTACTGGGACACCACGGGTGAGGGGTTGGCCTGCGGCCCCAGGTGGACGGGGCCCGGGTCCCGGGTGGATGGGCCCGGGCCTCCCGTGGATGGGACCAGGCCCCCGGTGGATGGGTCCGGGCCCCCGGGAGAACAGGTCTGGGCCCCCGGGTGGATGGGGCCCGGGGCCCCCGGGAGAACGGGCCCGGGCCCCCTGGGTGGATGGGGCCTGGCCCCCCGGGTGGATGGGGCCCGGGCCCCCGGGAGAACGGGTCCGGGCCCCCCGGGTGGATGGTGCCCCCGGTGGATGGGCCCGGGCCCCCGGGAGAACTGGCCCGAGCCCCCTGGGTGGATGGGGCCCGGCCCCCGGGAGAACGGGCCCGGTCCCTTGAGAGAACAGGCCCGGGCCCCCTGGGTGGATGGGGCCCGGGCCCCCGGGTGGATGGGGCCCGGGAGAACGGGCCCGGGCCCCCCGCCGGATGGGTCCGGGCCCCGGGAGAACGGGCCCCGAGCC